CGCCCTTTCAGCGGTCCGAACCACGGCGTGTGAGCGAGACAACTCGACGTTGGTTCCGGGAAACTTGTGAGTTTCACAATATATATTATATATTATTCATGATTTGATCAGATGTAGCACCAGTTACATGTACATGACATAGCTTGTATAGATGTATGTTTCACTGCAGCCATTTTGTGTTCATTTCGCGACCAGAGCTCAGTCAAGCGTGAGCTAAAAGTGTGCCTAAGCTTCAACTACAACCTTTGGGACAGTGACTTGGGGTCACAGAGTTTAAGAGCCTAAATTCTCCGTTCATGGTAGCGGAGCCGCGCAACAGCCAGGAGCACAGGCACAACAAGCCACAGACATGGCACAGCAATTTGCACAGATGATGCAAGCCCTAGCACAGGGGCAGAGCCAATTGCAGCGAGCAATGGTAGAAGCATACACACAACAAACGGCAATCACAAGGAACATAGCCACCAGCGTAGAAGTAAGAGACAGATCAGAATTGAAAGGCATTCCAAAGCCTGACAAGTTTAGTGGACACACAGGTACCTGGGACTCATGGTACTTCAAGTTCAAGACTTGGATTGAGACAAGTCACAAGAATGCAGGAAAGTGCATTCAGCTCCTCGAAGAGCATCAAGACACAGAGATCAATGAGACATCTCTGGAAGATGATTATCCTGAAGGAGCCGAGCTTGTTTCAGCTCAGGCCCGACAGGCTCTGATCTCATTGTGTGAGGGAGAAGCCCTCGAGATTGTCAAGAATACCTCCAGAGGTCAGCACTTTGGCCTAGAGGCTTTGAGACGATTGATCACTAAGTATGATCCACAGAACCCACAAGCAAACTCAGCTTTGCTGAAGAAGGTCCTGCACCCACAACAGTGTGCATTGGACAAGCTCAGAGAGAGCATAGAAGCCTGGGAAAACATCAGGCGAAAGTATGAAGAGCGAAAGAAGAAAGCTCTTGATGATGACATCGCAAGAAGTTGTCTTCAGCAGATGTGTCCATCCAAACTTCAAGATCACCTTGACCTCCAGAGTTCGAGACTCACTGACTATGCCATCATGAAGTCAGAGATTTTGGCCTACCTCGAGAACATCGAGAGTCGAAGAGAAGCAAAGACTGGATCAGCACCAAATGGATGTTGATGCATTAGCCGCAGCTGCCAGCCAGATGCAATCTTCACTTGCAAGTCTGGCCAAAGCCAAAGGAAAAGGCAAATGTGGCTCAAAAGGCGGCAAAGGAAAAGGAAAGAGTCAAGATGGAGGCAAGGGAAACGACAAAGGTAAACAGAAGGGAAAAGGTTCTTCATGGTCCAACTTCTCTTCATGGAACCCCTCATGGAACAAGAATGATGGGTATAGGAACGATTGGAACAGGAGTAGTTGGTACAACCAAAACTCCAAGGGTAAAGGCAAAGGTGGCAAAGGCAAGGACTCTAAAGGTAAAGGCAAGAGTAAGAGTAAGAAGGTAGCATCAGTTGAGGAATCTGAAACCTCTATGGCTCAAGAGCATCAACCCGAGCCTGAGTATTCCGCTGACATCGCCACCCTCTTTGCCATCGAGATGGAGAAAGCAGCACCTGCCGCAATTTCTCGTGGAGCAGCCAAGGCAAAAGCTGAGACTGAAGCCAAAGCTATGCCAAAGAAGCCAGGAGCTGGAAAAGGTCGTCCTGGAATTGCAGCTGCTGGGATTGCAGTCATGAACCAAGCAATCCAAGAGACCATGCAGTCCAACCGCGAACTGTATGAGAAGAAGTCTGAGACGATCCAGAAGGCCATTGAAGAGGCCGAGGCTCAGGGCAAAGCAGCCAATGACGCCATCTTGGAGCAACAAGCCGAAATGAGAAGGCTGAAAGAACAGTATGAAGAAAAGGAGAAAGAAGCAAAGATTTTGCTGAAGAGGCCAACTCCTCGCCGCACCGCTTCGGTTCCGGCGGAGTCGCCAGGGCTCTCAGCTGATTTGGCATCAGGCATGGACCCAAGATTGGCCAAGAAGAAGGAGAAAAGCCGTCAGCGCGCCGAGCAGCATCGCGTTGAGAAGGCCCAGGATCGTTTCGAATCCTGGCGCGACTATGAGGCCAACTACCCTGAGGAGCTCGACTACTATGAGATTGCTCGTGCCAAGGGTACTGGTCGACTTCAAGCTTGGGATGATGAAGATGATGAGGGAAAGTTTGATGAAGCCCCTCAACCTCGAGGTCGAGAAAGGGCCCAGACGCATCGTAGCTACAAGAAGCCAGGAAAGGCAAAGAAGCCTGAGAAGCCAAAAGAGAAGGAGCCCAAGATCGAAGATCTCTCCACTCAAGAATTGGCAGAGATGAAGCGGGAAAGCCGAACCTGGACAGCTACGAGCCATCCAGCCCGCAGTGTCATCGACAAGGCGCTCACTGCTGCTGGGTTCAACCCAGAGGAGTATATCGTGATGAAGCGCATCGAAAGCCAAGGCGAAGGAGCAACAAGTGCACCATCCTTCGCAGCCCGAGTCATGGAGAACATCAATCCCCTTGATGTGACTGAAATCGAGGGACTTGAAGAAGAAGAAGAGTTTGAAGATGAAGTTGAAGATGATGAGAATGGCACTGAGCCAGCTGACGATGAGTCAGATGGGCAAGAAGAAGAAAAGGAGAAAGACACCGTGCCATGGCTCGATCATATGTTTCAAGAGCGAATTCTCAGCTATGATGAATGGGTAGCCAAATGCACCCACAAGAACAGAGATGGCAGCAAGAACATGGTCTTCCGTGCGTGCAACAAGGCCCTGAAGTGTGACAATGACACTGGCCTATGGAACCATCATATGGCTTTGAAGTGCTGCCCACCAAAAGTCCTCAATCAGTGGGCAAAGGAATGGACGATCAAGCAGAAAGAGATGGGAAAGCGCATCAAGACTGCCAAGGGACAGCAAGGCAGCCCAACTTCAAAGGATGCGCCAAAGCATGTGAAGGACGCCAATATGGATCTGAAGCCTGAAGATGTGGCAAGGCATTTGAAGATGGAAGAGCCAAAGCTTGAGACTATCAAGAAAGAACCTCCTTTTTACATGACTGCCCATATGCAGAAGATGATGGAAGAGCAGGAGGAGGAATATGATTTTGGCCCAAAGACGCCAAAGCAGAGGCGCATTGCCAAGACACCTCCACCTCCTGAGAAGAAGGGCAAAACCAAGGAGGAGCGCATGGCCTGGTTCAAGAGCTCGACTGAAGAGCACATGGAGCGATTCCGTGGACCAGGACCCAAGCAAGAGGAATCCAGCGAAGCGCCAAGGCAAACGCTTCGACCGAAGTCCCGGTCTCGATCCCCGGGCAAGAGCCGAGCCGCTTCGGCTCCGGCTGCCTCCGAGAAGGGCCATCAGAAGGGCCAAGAGAAGGGCAAGCAGAAGAAAGTGCAGTTGACTCGAGCAGTCAACGTGGCCACTCAGGAAGCTGCCCGCGAGGCCAAGAAGGGAAAGGGAAAACGATATCCCACTCCCTCAAGTGAGCCTGAGGAAGGCGATGAAGATCCACTCGCCCTCAAGAGTTTGGAGCTGGCATCCATGGAGACGCCAATGGCTCATCAGGTGACCTTGGATTCAGGAGCCGCTACGTCCTTGCATCCCTGTCGAACTTGCCACAGCACTGGGCTACAAGCCTACCCAGCCTGAAGGCACCAGCAAGGTCTACAAGACCGCCTCAGGCGAGATCGTGAAGGATCTCGGCAAGGTCGATGCCAAGGTGACGATTGGCTGCAGTTTTCGAGTGATGGCTGTCTCCAAGCCGTTACTTTCTGCAGGAGCCCTCGCAGACAAGGGCTGGTCCATCCAGATGAGCAAGACTGGAGGACACATTGCTCGAGATGGGAAGAAGATCCCAATCTCCTTTTGCAACGGAGTTTACTCCGTGCCGATCGTGTTCCACCATTTCACCCGGCACCGAAGTGGGTAAGTCCGGTGATGGACGAAGAGGCCCCGGCAGATTTTGAAGCCGCTGAGGCCGAGCCAGGTGATGAAATTCCACCTGAGCTCAAGATCAACGCTCCAGTTCGCCCAGCGCGAAAAGAGCTCGAGGAACACGTTGTTTCACACTTTCCTTTTCGTTCCTGGTGTGAGGCCTGTGTTAGGGGAAAGGCCAAGGCAAACCCACAGGAGAGTAGACCACACAGACGAAACAACACCAGTTGTAACTGTAGACTACTGTTTCATGAACTCACGAACTGATGATGTAGTTTTGGACGAGAAGACTGCACCAATTCTTGTTGTCAGAGATCGATGGACGAAGCATTTTTTTGCTCATGTGTTACCCTACAAGGTGTGACAAAAGGTCCATATCGATCCAAAGTACTCCTGAACGACATCAAGAAACTAGGGTACTCCAAACTGATCATTCGACATGATCCTGAACCTGCCCTCACCTCTGTGGTTGAGGCAGTAAAGAGTGGGTTTGAAGGAACCCTGATCATCGAGAAGAGCCCGAAAGGAGTCAAAGAATCCAAGGGAGAGATTGAACGAGCTGTTCAAACCTTGGAAGGACAAGCCAGGACTCTTCGAGCCGCGATCGAGTCGAACTATGGTGAGAAACTTCCTGACGATTCACCTGTTTTGACTTGGTTGGTCGAACACGCATCCACAGTCTACAATCTGTTTTTCCGATCCACCGAACTTCAAGACGGAAAGACTCCGTATTCACGACTTCGTACAGGTGTCGAGACAGACTTGAAGAGCAAATTCGAGGAGAAGAAGAAGATAACCCAAGAGTGGCAAGACATGAAAGCCGAGTTGGAGAGGCAATCACTGGCATGCCACAGCCAGTCAGTGGTAAGAGACCTCAAATCCTTCATGGATATGAAAGCAAACGACCATCGGGAGTCCCCGATTCATGTCGGGTGTTCGCACGACTTGACGTCGAAGCTCATTGTTTTCAAACCACCATGCCAGGAGGACCTGATTGGTCTACCGTCTGGCACCGAGTCACAAGAAACCATGCAAACAATGCAATCATTGAGAGTGGAGTCATGACGACAGACCTTCCACCAGAGATTCTCAATGGAGCATTACCACACAAGATGGATATTGTGACAGTACTTTGGTACGAACCAGAAGCAGCACCACCAACTCCAGGCACAGCATCAGCATCAGCATCAGGTATTCGCAGGCCACGCGAACCTGAACCACATGGAGAAAAGAGAGAACACGAAGAACAGCATGAACCAGCAGGATCACCCACAGCAAAAGCCAGAGTAGATAGAGACAAGAAGAGAAAGGCAGAAGGCGAACATGAAGATGAAGCCGAGAGAACAAGAGACATCCAGAGCATTGAGATGGCTCTAGAAAGCCTAATCCTAGAAGACAGAGAGAGAGAGTGCTATCTAGCATCGACCCAGAGAAACCAGTGTGTGAAGAGAAGATCCCACTGCCAGAAGAAATGGCAGAAGAGGCAAAAGACTGGTGGTACTATGACGACATCAGTGGAAAAGAGCTTCTACCTGGGAAGGTAGAGAAAGCCAGGAAAGATGAGATCGACCTTGTCGAATCAATGGGAGTTTGGGAGAAGATCCCAAGAAGTAAAGTTCCAAAAGGAACCAAAATCATTGGAACTCGATGGGTAGATGTGAACAAGCAAGATGAAACCAATCCTCTCTACAGAAGTCGATTGGTAGCGCAAGAGATCAAAAGAGGCTCAGGTTTTGATGAATTTTTCGCAGCCATGCCGAGCCTAGCAGCTTTGAAGCTACTGCTAACCATTGCAGTCAGCGACAGCCTTCCACTGGAGAAAGGCGAGAGAAGGAAATCAAAGCAATCTTTTGAATGATTTTTGGATGTGAAGAGAGCTCATTTCTACCCCAAAGCAACAAGAGAACTTTATGTTGAAATTCCATCTGAAGGCAAGAGACCTGAAGATGGAGATGTGGTAGGAACATTGGTCAGAAGCCTTTACGGCACCAGAGACGCACCCATGAATTGGGAGCTGACCATTGCAGAGTTCATGAAGAAGCTAGGATTTTTACAAGGCAAGTCTAATCCATGCATCTACTACCATGCATCCAGAGAACTTCGAACAGAAGTGCATGGAGACGATTTCACGACCGTTGGAAGCTTTGATGACATCAAATGGTTTCACACTTCAGCAGCCAAAGAATGGCAAGTTGTGGAACGAGGCATTCTTGGTCCACCAGGTTCACCAAAAGCAAGCCAACAGATCAGAGTGTTGAATCGCATCATCACTTGGTCAAATGAAGGCATTTGGTGGGAACCAGATCCAAGACATGCAGAGTTGATCAAGTGGCTAGGCACTGGTCAACCAGGCAAGGTCAAGACACCTTTGGCCAAGCCAAGTCAAGAGGAACTCCAACACGAAGAAGTTCCGCTGAGTGCCGAAGATGCAACGATATATAGATCTATTGCTATGAGAGCCGCGTATTTGGCACAAGATCGACCTGATCTGCAAACTGCAACGCGCTGATTGGCACAAGGTCTACAGAACCCAACATCGAGGCACTGGAACATGCTGAAACGATTGGCTCGATATGTCAGGTATCGACCAAGAGTTGCACAGTTGTTTCCAAACCAAAGCACCTGCAACCCCTTCAACATGTGGTCAGACGCCGACCATGCAGGTTGCATAAGGACACGAAAGAGTGTGTCAGGAGGCGTGCTCATGGCCAACAAATGCTGGCTCACTACATACAGCAAAGGCCAAGGAGTTGTCTCCCTGAGCAGTGGCGAATCCGAGTACTACGGACTTGTTTCCGGAGCATGTCAAATGCTTGGAGTCGCATCAACTGCAAGAGACTGGGGATTGTTTCCCAGCAAAGAGGTGACAATGGACGCTTCCGCTGGCATCGCCATGGGAAACCGTCGAGGCTTGGGACGAGCTAAACATGTTGACACTCAGTACCACTGGGTACAAGAGCGCACGGCAAAGAAAGAGTTTCGTCTCAAGAAAGAAGGCACCGACCGAATGTTGGCCGATGTGCTAACGAAAGCTGTCACCGAGGAGAAAATGACTACAGCCATGAAAGGCATGAACTTCCACTACTTGGAAGGTGAGCATGAACTGACTTTGAAAGCGTGAACGGCTTGAGCTAGAGTAGGTACTTCTTCAAGACCAAGATGTACTGAAGGGCTACGAGCTAATTTACTGAAAGTGCTAATCCTGACTCGCTTAACTTCTGGGAGATGTTAAACTCGGGAGGCGTGATCAGATGTAGCACCAGTTACATGTACATGACATAGCTTGTATAGATGTATGTTTCACTGCAGCCGTTTTGTGTTAATTTCGCGACCAGAGCTCAGTCAAGCGTGAGCTAAAAGTGTGCCTAAGCTTCAACTACAACCTTTGGGACAGTGACTTGGGGTCACAGAGTTTAAGAGCCTAAATTCTCCGTTCATGATTAAGCCATGATTACCAAGTAATGGCCAGTATTCATTCTGGACAGTCGCCACCAACGAGGTGTGAACAATCTTTTGGCGTCATGTGGGCATGTGTGGGCGAACTTGTGGTTCTTCTTTTCATAGGGGGCATGACTTGGTATATTCTTCTATCATATTCTTCTCATCCAGCTCCCATGATGGAGTGATCGTGGGCTGGAATCTATTTTCCGCCCTTGTCGCCGCCCCAGTAGATTGTGGTTTGTCGAGGTTGTTTGACTCTTTAAGAACCAGCAGAAGTTCACCATTCGACATGTGTGATCTTGTGGAATTCTGATGGCATATGGAAAATGTTTTCTAGCACGCCTTGCCCACAAGGGAGTTTCAAGTTTTTGCTAGAACGCCTTGCGCTTCCCCTGCACGTGCTTATCGATCAGGATTCTGACGCCTAGAGGGGTCTGTTTTGGCACGCCTGGAACGAGATACACCTCAACTCAAATCAAACCGATACTTCACGTCCTACTTCACCTGAAAACGAGGACTTTCACCTGAAAAAAACCAGTGGTTAAGCTAGGGTTTTATTTTGGCCGAGCGATTGGTGGTGATCTCGAGGAAGTCACTCGTGGGGTCTATTTAATGAGCTTTGACCAGGCGCAGGAGCTCGTGAATCAGGTGCCATAGGTTGATTAAACGCATGGATGGCCTTGCCTGACGCTAGAAAGAGAGGGATTGAGAAACTCTTCTAATATGGAAGTGCTAGGTACAAGGCAAGTTTGTCGAATACTTTGCAATTGTCTTTGAATCCTCGGTGTTCTTCTTGCTTAAGAGACTCTCCTGACTTTTGTTTGAGTGTTTTGGTCCAGCAGCGGTGTGCGGTCGCAGCTGCCAGGGGCGAGCGCACACCTCCGATTTCATGTTGTTCTTGGGCTACTGCGGCTGGATTCACAACCAGCTGCAGGGAGAACTCAATGTGGGGGTTTGGAAGATGGTTCCTCGCTTTGGCTAGGCGAGTAGTTTTTTTGTTTTAATTTTCTTTTGTTGGAGCTGACCTGAAATGAGGCGGAGAAAACGGTCTTATTACTCATATTGCTTCATTAAACAAGATGAAATTGCTTGGTTTCCGCTTCGAATTCCGATCGGATGCAGCATTACGCTCGGTTTGTGCTAGGCCGCTAGGGCTGGCACTACTGCTAGTAGCTGCAAAGTCGCTGCTGCAGACACCGCTCACACTTGCTTGCTCAGACACGCACGTCCACACACATACACACCCGCCCACGCACGCACGCACGCACGCATGCACACGCGCAGAGGCCCAAGAGGATGCTCCTATTGCCTATTGTTTTTTTGAGAGCGGGGGACTGTGGTAGTACACATTTTTTTTAAGATAAGTTTACCTCATTACATGGTTGCAATGATAGATTTTTTTCTACGATATCTTCTGTCAGTGATATTGTATAACACCCAGTACTTTACAATAGTCTATCAAAGGACCTATATGACAAGCCCTTTATGATTTATTTAAATTTATATACTATGTTTCTATATAATAAACTTAGAGTGCAGGGCACTGTGAGTGTGCACCTTTTTTTGTTTCTCATATGCGTCTACCTTGTGTCATGTGATAGACATGTAAATGAAGCACCTCAACTGGTGCATAACTATGCTTTGCTTTCTACATATTTATATCATGTAAGCATATTTTATCAATTTCTTCTTGCTTTGGTAACGTAAAGCAAGTGAGAGGTACTGTTTATACAAGTCGTATTTATGCTGTAGTTTATACATATATATACAAGCACTAAAAGTCCAATAAATGTTGATAATTCTGCAACATTGCTCCAATAAAACAACATGTTCTAATAGTAGTGTTGTTAGGATTGTTGTATTTTATACTAAAATTAGTAGCTGTGCAAACGAACAACTTGTAATTGTATCTCTGTTTGGGATCCAAAAATACAACCTCCAAAGAATCTTCATCAAATAACCATGTGACCATGTATATACATCGAATAACATTCTTGACATTTGTTGGTTCCATGCTTCTTTGGAGTTAGAGTTCATTATACCAATACAGACCATTTTTATGTCTATCTTTTTGTAGATGATAAAAAAAGGAGGAATCTCTATTCAAGATATTTCTTGACGGTAAAGGGTTGAATTTAACAACATACCACATGTTTAACTGCTTTTTTGTCAGGCCTGTAGGGTCATTATGTACATAGTATGTCCATTGTTTTGATTCATCTACCACAAACTACTTCACAATATAAGTTGAATTTATTGAACATACTGTTTCATTGTTAACCCGTGCGCTGTCAAATTTGTTGCTATGTTTCCGTTATTCATATTCTATGTCAGGCTAAATCCGCAGTAATTACACGGTATTTAATTTTGGTTAATGAACCATTGAGTATCATTGTAGCCTTCTTTCCAACAAACACGTCAATGTCTAAGGGGCAGATCCTGAGACATTGACGGTTTTTAGTGACTATGTCACACAGACAGCAAATGCAAAGCGAATAGCCATGCTGAAGTCTCCTTACCAAAACCCAAAAAGGCAAACAAAACACAAAAGGCATAAAGACCAAACCAATGGACGTATGTGTAGCAAAAGCTATGGTTAATAGTTTTTGATTTTTTAGATTGTGGTTTTTGACACTGTCGCCAAATCCAAAAATTCCCCAAAAAATCAAACCCCATGGATTTTGGTGCAGTAAAGACTATTGGGTCAATAGTTTTGGATGTTTTTTTTTGGATTTGGAGACTGTGCAATCCAAAAAATCCAACCCAATGGATGTTGGTGCAGCAAAGGCTATTGGGTTAGTAGTGTTGGATTGTTTGAATCTTTTTGGATTGTGGTTTTTGACGGCAGTGCAGTGCAGAGATTCAGATATTATGATGATTGTAGTTGAGTGCAGTGCAGAAAATAAGACAAAATGAGAAAACACGTGTACTACAGTGGTCCCCTGTTCTGTTCTTTTTTGGGGGGGATTGTGTGGAAGAGACAACTTGTGTTGAAGAGACAACTATTTCAAAGCCAGCAAGGCAAGCTGGCGAAGCGCAACGCGTGCTTTGATCACAGCCGTTTGGTGGCCTGAGGCATTGGTGAAGGAGTGCACTAGATCCGTGCTACTGTAGGCCACTTCCAGAGACAGCAATTAAGTGTATAAACTACGGACAAAGATAATTATGGGACAGTATGGCTCTTTGGGAAAGAAGGCTGCTAATTAGAAAATAGGTATTCACAAGATACATGTAACACGGTATTGTACATGAGCACTTGCTGCCTATATATGAAAGCCACCCCTTGGAGTTGCCATGATTTAGAGCCGGGATATTGATTCCAAAGCATTTTTGGGTCAGCTCAAAGGAACACGCTTTGTGAACGGTAAAGGTCCAAATAGCGGATGTAATCAGACAGCAATGACCCGCAATGGACAACAACGGATCCCACACTAAGCTGGCAGGTGGACCACAACAGATTTTGCACTCCACTCACTTCCGTGCTAGGGCCTAGAGTCAAGAACCACATAGAAACACCAAGATGTACATCGTACGTGTTAAAAACATGTCGAGAGATCGCGGCCTGTCAAGCCACACAAGTATGAGGCTGGTTTGCTATAGAGCTTCACCTCCAAATCCACGCCCGTCCACGCCTACCCACTCATCACCCACTCCTCCACCCCTCCGGGTTCGACTCCAAGGCTTCCGTCGACTCACGGAAACTGATCCGGGAGCTGCGGGAGGAAACCATGGAACTGCGGCGTTTGCCACAGCTGGGCTTGGACGACGGCATCGGGGTTTGGCGGCATTTGCACCTTGGCCGAGCTGGTCCCACCTGTGAACTGAAGGATTAGTTTTTCGGTTTGGTTGGATGCAACAGTCTGAGTCCAACAGGTGCGTTTTCCCTCCCTTGTGCTCTTCTTTTCACCCAGTTTGCTTGAGATCATCCTGGCTAGGGCCAGGGGTCCCGAGTCAAGACCTACGACCACGGTCCGTCCGGCTTGGAAGACCTGAGAGGAAAACCGAACAACTTAGGAATGAAATGGAATTGGAGGTAACGTATTTAGAGGATGTGAGTCTCACGCTATTGTCGGTCACTTTCACATACTTTCAATGGGCCTTTCACGAGAATTCTTATTTACATTGTGTGTTGAATGTGCATCACTGGCATCAGCACTTGCTTCGACCTGGAATGTTTGGATTCGGATCCTTTAGGTATGCGGTCGTGGACGAATCTGACCCCTACAACGATCCCTTCGACACCAACATGCTGGACACGAACAGCGTGGAGGGCGATGCCTTGGGTGACGCCATGCTTCGCCAGTGGGTGATCCAGAACCTCACGCCCTGACGCGGAAACCTGAGTGGTAGCAGAAATCTGCGCCAGGTTGAGGAGTCCAACACCAAGCCGGTTTTCAAGGGAACCCGCAAAGTATGGTGGGGGAAGATGATGTTTGCGAGGTTTGTTCCACCAAGGGAGTGGTCTGTCTAAGCAACATGGTCGACGAGAGGGCTCCCCAAAGCCTAAAACAACAGCAAAAATTGATCGGCCCAAAGTTTTCCAGGCATTTGGTTTACAAAGTTTACAAAGCCCAACAAGTTGTATATAAGTATATATAGATATATAGATTTGTATATAAGCAAATTGGAGGGTACAGTTTCATTCTTTGGATGAGGGAATGGGCAGTGGAGCCTGTTGTGCTACTTTCAGGGGTCGTGAGCAGTGAGAAAAGAAAGGGTGTTGCTTGCAGAAACTTGGCAGGATTTCTGGAGCAATTGAGCTGGCACAAGCCCGCGTGCAGCCTTTTCCCTGTCCAGAAGTGGAGGTGCTCATGCCCAAAAGTGGCAGTCCAGTGATTCGCATTGGCTCAAACTAGTAGCTTGTGAAGGGCTATTAGTCGGTTTATGTGTCCCTGCCATCTTAGCGACAGGTTGTACAAAGTGCTTGGTGCATGTGAGGAGCATGCATAAGTGAGTATCGAGCATGTGTCAAAACCGACCTGGAGAACCCAGCTGCGCACAGATGCTTTGTGTAGTCGAGAGTCCCAAATGATGTGCAGAATGCCCTCCAACACAGATCACAGATCAATGCTTCGTTTTGGTTGTGTTTTGATGCGTTTTAGTTGGGATTTTCACCACCGTCTTTACCTTCGCCACATCCCGGGTCGTAGCCTTCACATGTCATGACTGAGTGGCTCACTGCTAGCTGGGGGCTACTGAAACGAGTGAGGCCGGAAAACAATGCCATCAGTAAAGCCACTCGTGGCATTGCTCCCCCCAGAGTGTGAAAACGCGGTGTTAAGGACGCTACTAGGGGCTCCTGGCCTTACTACTATAGGAGCAAGGACGCTACTAGGGGGTCCAAGTCTTTACTGAGTGTGTCTGGTTGTGAACCCGAGGCGTGCTGGGAGTTTACCTGCGGGCTCTCGGGCGGCTTGGTGGGAGAGGGGTGCAGGGACAAGCCTCAGAAGGCCCAGCTTCCTGTGAATCGGCCCAAAATGGTTAGGTTCTGTGAGGTGTTTGTATTTTCTTGAGCCCGCTGCGAGGTCCGGACAAATATTATCAGGAAATGATGGTAAACTAACTAGCCAAAATGAAGCTTCAGCATGCTTCGGCCAGTTGCTTGGTACTGGTAGGCGGATGAGGTAGGGGACATTGTAGATTCAATCTTATACCGATGCATGATTACACGATTTCTCATTCCCTGGGTATTCTAGGCTGAATCTGACCGAATTCATGCATTCTTCTTCCAGGAGTCAGTTGGTTCGCTGCGTGGAACATGGAAGCTTTTCAAACGAAATTGAAGCGAACAAATCGTCCGTTCGAAGGGGCACGCCCGTGACGGATTTGACTTGGATCGATCCTCAGCACGAATAGGCCACGATTTGAAACAGATTTGATCATCGAACTCGAATAGATGCTGTCTACAGGTCTACACTGCACGCAACCTGGAAGATCCTGGAAGTGGCCCAATGTACGCTGTAACAACTGGCTGACAGGATGGAGAGAATAATCCCCTCTCTTTACACCTTACAGGGGAAAACACACTCCGCAGGTGTCAGCTTTCTTAATCGCCCACGTATTTTTGAAGCTGCAGATCCTAGATGATGTTTGAATATGTTTGATATTGATCCACGTTCGCCTTTGCTTTTCTGAAGGGAAGGCACCAGAAGATGCCAGAAGTGCTTTATTCCAGGACTTCCTGAAACGTGTCGAACACCGGTGCCGAACACCCGGGCGCTGTTCCCACCGTCAACCCGGTCGACGCCATGGCCGGCGATGTCCTCGCTACAGTGCGGAGGGACGGGCTGAGGGATGTGCCCTGGCGTTAAGAGAATGGGACGTCCGAGGTGGTCGGCCAAGTCACTCTCGCTCCAAGTTTTGTACTACATGTGTGTATACATAATTGCCGGACTGTAACGACTGTAGATAAGTAATTAAAACGATGTATACACACATGCATATATATATATATACTGTGTATATTAATATCTATTATCATGGCCTATGGGAGATGACATCTCTGGAAACTGGCAGTGTTTGACGTCCGTGATTGGATGGAGTGGAACCCTTTTAGTCAAAAGTTTTTACTGTTGCGGTGTGTTTTGTTGGCCCTCCCCCGGATGACACACCAGGCTCAGAAAACGCTTTGCTCAGGGGATAGGCGCCAAGGGATGACTTCCAAAGTCCAAGCCTGATCCTTGAGGGCCTTTGTGGCAGCTTTCGACTGGTGCTTGGCATGTTTTCTTGATGTCAGAGAACGAGTCGATGTTTTGCTTCACTCCCGAGGGCGGAGAACATGTTCAATCTCAACCTCAATATGATCTAGGACCATCTAGGACCTATTTGTCACAGCAAGTGCCCAGCCCAAACCCTGCACCCGCAGCTGCTGGCCACGGCCTCGCCATTTTCACAGCCAATATTCAATACTCGGTCGAAAGTTTTGGCACTCTCATTCCCCCCATAGGCACCTTGCCCATTGCCTGGCAAGGGTTGGGAGAACAACGGAAAAAAACAGGTTCAAGGCAGGCAGCTTCATGTCGCCATGTGATACGTGAGGCTGTTATTTTGCTATACAGTGGCAGTGTCCTAAAGGTTCCGACACCATGAAGCAGTATTAATAAGAGGCCCTGAAAGATAAAAAAGGGTCCTTGGCAAAACTCTGTGGCAAAAACAGCTCAAAGATGCTCAAAGAGGTGTTTTTCAAAGCCATAAAGGGCCATAAAGCCATAGGCACCACCATTCTCTCAAAGCCCATCACTTCTCTCAAAGCCAATTCGACAAAGCATAGCCTTGTGCCCTCGCTGAGCGAGCGAGTCATGTTCGGACCGAGGCCCTGTAGCATCAAGCTGAGGCTGCATCAGGCGCGCGGCCTGCGGCCTGATCGAGATGAGGCCCGCGAGTCATGTTCGGACCGGGTCCAAAAAGACGGACCGGGTCCAAATAGACGGGTTGCACATGGTTGCACTCATATTGGATCAGAAGGAAGATCTAAAGGAAACCAGGATGAAAACGATTCCAAACGATTCCTTTCCTGTAGACCAATTCTGGATGCACTGGTGATTCAGATGAAACATGGGTGAATAATTAGGAGGTCCATTTCTGATGTTCAGAAATGCACCTGTGTGGACACTCAAAGGCAAATTTCATGGTTTTGGAGGGATACGCTAGGCATGGTGTTTGTTGACGACTTTCTCGGACAGCTTGCTGTCCGTGTGACCGTCAGGCAGCAAAGAACTACTTGTCGCCTTGATCTCTACCTCTAAATGCAAGACCAGCCAATTAATCAATTAATCAAAGATCAAAAAGATACAACATCGTATCATCGTCATCATCCATTCTCAGTGGTTCCTTTCTCCATTCCTCCACCATGGTACGTCCAGTGCCAGGATGGGAAGTACGTGGAAGTCTCCTTCAACGATCACATCCGCATGTCACCTAAGAGCACAGGCTCCCCTGAGAACCCAGCGCCGAGCTCGGTTTTCGTGAGCGTAACGCAGCATGACGGCGGTCCAGGCGTAGGTTTTGGGACACGTTTCGCGGTCCGCGTTGTTTCAAGGCCCGTCTCACCCGTCACCAGGTGGATGTGAAATTATTTGAATTATAGGGAACCCCCCTGGCCTTGGCTGGGTAGACTGGTCGATTTCCCGCTCGAGGTTTGGGGTGATTCGGTGATGTCCATCGAGCTCACGGACGCCCCTCGGACTATATATATATATTTGCCGTGGGCGCGCCCATCAGAGCGCTGCTTTCAGAGCAGCGTGTGGTTGTTTGGAGCTTGGAATGGCACCCCAACGTTTGTAGAATCTGGTGCCAGTGGTGAAAAAGGTAGATGGCAGTGGCACTGGCACCCCAAAATGGTTTTCAGATGGGGGTCCATATAATACCTCCTTTTGGAAGCTTTTGGGGATTGTGCCATCTACTCTGAAATCATATATGTATATATCATTATATGTGTATATATATATATAGTTTTTTTTTGTAGTTCGAGGGGATTGATCATGAACCCTTGGATGGTTCCATCGTTTTACATGCACCACTCAGAGAGTGCACGGTTGAACAGGCTGATTGGGGACAGCTGTCACAGCTGTCAGCCTTTGGCATGGCGCAGCTGGTTCCGGTCCAGGTCGACCTGGTGCCCCCACCGTCTTACACCCAATAACTTGGAGGGCATGAAGGATCAGGATCTGAGTTTGAGGATTGGATCATTCGATCATTCTGGCGCGTTGAGGGTTGTCGAATAGTTTGGCAAGTATCGGTATTAAGTTTGAATCATCAAAGTTTCATAAGGTTTCTTGAATGAATGTGTGGCTTGCCAATTCTTGCCGTTTTGGGCTTGCCCGTTTGCAGTGAGATACGGCCTGCCGTGCCGCGCGGCAGGCCGGACCAGGTACCAACCAATTGGCCAGACCAGGTACCAGCTGGTGTGTGGAACTGATTGGTTTACATGACGTCTTCTCGGATTTTGTACTCCTCACGGAATATAGGCATTTTTAGACCGATTTTTCCTGCAAGTGGCATGTGACTGTTTTTTGCATGGACGATTGATCATGGATGTGGCCATGTTGGATGGACGACTGCCCAGGATTTTCAGCTCCAAGACTATCCTTTGCGGCTTGGAGTCTGTAGCAACGAGACAGGACGGGAGCCATGTCTTGGAGGTCAAGAAGGTCACCACATTGGCATAGTTGGCGAAGCTCATTTCCTTTATAGGCTCTCTTGGGGCCTGGATTGATACTGTTTTGGAACACTTGTTGTTAACGGCTAACGGTATATTCTATGTCTGTTGCCTTCGGGAATTGCACTTGCAGGGGTTGGCTTGCTGGGCCGAGCATGTTATTTTTGCAGATATGTAACATGTACTGTAATTTTCCACACTAGCGGCTGCATGTGTCACAGAAATGTCACAGAAAGAGTATGGCAACCAGAATGTAGAGAGATTCCATTTTTCCAAATGGCCCTGGGACAGTGCATTTGTACTGCATGTTTGCTGGAATTCTGGGAGGTGGTTGTTGTTGGTTTGTTTGTTTGGACGGTGCTCTTGGGATTGATAAGCAGACCTTTGACTGTTGGCAGGACAAACGGTTTTTGTTTTAGCATTGCATTTCCTTGGAGTTGATTTTCATGGACGGGGGTTGCCAATTCCTGGGATTGAGAGAAGAAGTGCGGAAGAAATGCAACTGCAAGCCTTCCAGAATCTCAACTTGTACCCGGCCAACGAACACCACAGGCGTTGCTTGAATGAGAACAGTCACCCTCTCCAAGAACAGTGCACATGGAAGTGGAAACCATGGAAAAACAACATGGAACCTTTGGGTTTGACCCTGGGTTCCTCCACCACCCTGGGTTCCTCCACCACAAGTGGGTGATTTTCCACTTCCATGTCTTTAAAATGGTGCTTTGATGCCGCCCCCCCGCACCACCCAACACCATCTCGCTCGCTGTACTTCGCAGGGCCCCCTGACTGCGGCTTTGTCATGATCAACCTGGA